CCCACCCGATCAAGCCCCCGCCACCACCAGGGGGAAGGCATGGGGAGGGATTTAAATGCCTCCCCACCACTTGCAGGGCCTTCCCCGGCCTGCCCGGGGGCCCCTCCAACTTACCTTGTTGCTTCCCGCTCCTTGTGACCCGACTGAGGGTTGCTGGGGGCGGGCTCTGCTGCACTCCGGCAGGAAATGACCCCGGCTCTTAATCACTGTGCGATGCTATGCTAATTAGTTCTTAACCAGAATGAGAAGGTGCCAGACTGAAAGAACTGGCTATCAAATTCCTCATTCAAATTTCAGTTCTGCCATGAAGTTGCTATAGGCAAGCCATTCTCAGCTTTATTTATCCCCATTGTATAGTTGAAGGATGAAGTACGGGTAAGAAGAACACAGTCTAATGAACATTAGCTGGTTTTATTTCTATTTAATGCATGTCAGTACTCTGCTCATGTAAAGTAAGCATCATGGTATGAGATGGTAAAAAGGTAAAGGTTCCCTTGCCCGAAAGCCAGTTGAGTCCGACTCTAGGGTTGCGGTGCTCATCTCCGTTTCAAAGCCAAAGACGCGTGGTCATGTCGCCGGCATGGCTAAACACCAAGGCGCACGGAAGGCTGTTACCTTCCCACCGAAGTGGTTTAACTACTTGCAATTTCTTGCTTTCGAACTGCTAGGTTGGCAGGAGCTGGAACTAGAGACGGGAGCTCACTCCGTCATGCAGCAACTCGGGTCTCGAACTGCTGAACTACTGACCTTCCACAGCCTGCAGTTCAGCGTCTTAACCACTTGAGCCACCGCAGCTCCTATGAGATGGTACGTGAATCTTAATACATATAAAAAAATGGGAAGGGAAGTGCTTATTTGTTCCCAGACATCAACAACCTGTTAAAATAATAAAGGACCAAAAGTTGTGGGTGAGCTACTCAAATTTTCTATTGCATGAAGCTATATGTGGGTCTTAAAAGCTGAAGCTTGGTCTTCAAGCCTTTTGGAATGGGCACTTGTTGCATCTGGATTAACAGACGGCAACTTTCTTCACTGGTAAATATCACTACTGCTTACTTCAATATTTTTTACTGGCAGTGGTTCACCACTACAAATTAAGCCAGCTCAACATTTCCATAAGGGAACCCTTGTAGCAAGCAAGCAATATGCAAAATGTCCTTACATATATAAATTATAATTCATTTTATTGTATCCTTGCCTAACCTAAGGGCAATTATTCACAGACCATTCCATTAAAAATTAATTGTTAAATATAGCAAATAGAGCCAGCCCTTATGCTGCAATGTCAGAAGGATGTGCTGAGCACGGAGAATTTGCTTTTCTGTGTAAAAATAAATAAATGGAATCCTTGGCCTTAATTTATAAAACAGCTCAGATAATTAAAACAAAGCTAATGATACAGACTCTTTCATGCTCTGTTAATTATGTAGGCAAGAGCCTCATTTTTCAGAGTTTATCCCTACAGTTCACTCTTCTTGTGCCAGTTTAAAATTGAAGAGAGCAAATTCTTTTATCCTACCTTTTTTCCATAGGACTTGAGTCACTTGTAGCAATTTATTACGTTATTATTTTTTCAACTGGAGAATGATACCCTCCCCCTGTATATGCCATGGAAAACGCACAACTGACCCCATCCCTGATTCTGGGTCATTTAGACATTCTTCCAGCTGTATGGGATCTGCTCACAGAAAGCTAGAAGGACATTAAAAGGGCATAGGGCTGAATTTTTAAGCTCCAGAAATCTGCGTGGTCTAAATTGCAGCAACCTGTTTGCACTGGAAACAAACTGCCCCTTTCAAAAGAGATGAATGGCATAGTAAAGGAAAAAATAAAAACTTTTATGAATCAAAATTCAGTTGCTGTATGCTTGACAATGGTGGGAAGGGCAACTCCACCTAGCCTCTAAGTGAAAAGTATTCCTTACTCTTTGGAGAGCTGGCAGAGCTACAGTAAATTTATGTATTTCGAAAATTTGTATGCCATCTCTCCAGACCTGCTCGAGGAGTGTTGTAACAGCAAAACCAAACAAAGCTAACAAAAGAAAAGAGTCCAGTAGCACCTTAAAGACTAGCAAGATTTGTGGTAGGGTATGAGCTTTTGTGAGTTGCTGCTCACTTCTTCAGATATAGCTAGAATGTGAGTCCACTAGTCCTATATAGATCTTCAGCTTCAGTGCTTGCTTCGGCAGCACATATACTAAAATTGGAGATCTTCAGCTTGGAAGAGCCTATCTTTATGCATAACATGGAGCTTCACATAGTTTTTCCATTTATATGGGAGGCGTGCCTGGTGAAGGGCTTCCGTGATAGGCTTCAAATCGCGGCATTTATTTAAGATGTTCGAGGGGAGGTTCAGAAAAACCAATATAGGATCTCCATTAAAAGACAGCGATCCCATTGCTTTGGCCAGATCTAATATTTTTCTTCAGGACCAAACATCAGGGATTACTGCAAGAATGCCTCGAGGGTCATTTCTCTTGGGACTGTGTGGCAGACCTAGACGGTATGCGTTAGAAATTAAAGGGGCTACCCCATCCTCCAAATCTAATTCCTAGAAGAGCTAAGTCATTAAGAAAGATGGTGGAGTTGGGGGTGGCCTGTTCATTGAAGCCCCTGAATTTCAAGTTGGCCTGACGCATCGAGATCTCTAAATTCATAACATGCTGTTGGAGGTGGCCATGATCAAACTGCAGCATCTTGACGTACTGTGCCAAGCTCCAAGGCACATTCAGCCTTTTGTGAACCCGTGCTTAGGGACCGCCTCAGATCCGTTAATTGATCAGAAAGTGGCTTGATTAGAGCCGTCATGTTGGTCAAAAACCTCTGCTCCATGTTGTTGAGGAGAGTGGCCATGGCCTCATCCGTAAATGGGGTTATTAGCGGGCTTACCATGTCTTTGTTGAATGCCATCTTGTCCATCTCTGCTCCATTTGGGTGACTCTTGTTAGAGTGGGAATAGAAATCAGAAATTTGTTTGGTGGTCCATGGAATTGAGTGAATCTTAGATAAGTGCTGTTTGCCCATACTAATATCTACTAGAAAAAAGTTGGGGTGATCGATAAGGTGGTTGAAAGGCAGAGGAGGGATGGAGCACTTGAATTAGGTGTCCATCTCCACTGTAGCCAAACACCACACACCCCTCTCTTTGCTATCTATCACCTAGGTCACAAATCAGTCCAGCAACTGATATCGAAGCTCAAGACAATGCATCCACTTGGACTGAATCGAGGCCTAGGTTTCCTGTCTCATTATCAATACTGATTTCTCTGCGTCTACTACCTCTCTGCATATCACACCTAATCCACTCACACCTGCTATGGTCATTTGCCTGCTAATGTCATTTGGCATCTGAAATCACTCCACTTTCCAATATATAGGACTGATGGACTCCGGTTCTAGTTGTATCTGAAGAAGTGAGCAGCAGCTCATGAAAGTACATACCCTACCACAAGCTTTGTTAGTCTTTACAGTGCTACTGGACTCTTACTCTTTTCTACTGCTACAGACAAACACAGCTACCCATCTTAAGCTAACAATAAAAACATAAAAACAATAAAAAATACTAATACCGTGTTTTCCCGAAAATAAGACACTGTCTTATATTTATTTTTTCTCAAGAAGACACACTAGGGCTTATACCACAAATGCATAGAAATCCTGCTAGGGCTTATTTTTTGGGTAGGTCTTATTTTCGGGAAAACAGGGTATAACAACCCAGGCTCATAATAATAAACATACCCATCAAAACAAGCCATGGCATAAAAACAAATAGAACATTGTAAAATGATATTGATAAAAACAGTCCTTAGCCTAGGTGCAGACTCTTACACAGCTCGAAAAAGAGAGAACCTCTCAGTTAAAAGCCTTTTAGTCTGACACCTTAAGGAAAGGAAAATAGGCATCAGGTAAGCCTCAAGGTAGATTTCACCACTGAAAAAGTCTTAGCTCTTGTTGCCACCCACCATACCTCTGCAGATGAGGCAAAGAGAACAGGGCTTGAGAAGAGGGTCTCAGCCGGCAGGCTGGACAATATAGGAGGAGGCAGCTCTTCAAAAGTCAGTGGCTGTCAACAAAGACTCAAATTGTGTTGGGCTTACCTGGCTACTCTTCCACGTAGATCCCCAACTCCTTGCAGATGTTTATGGTCCAGGCTTTGTACAGCAAAATTGGTTCCTGATGTCATATCATCTCTTGTTTTTATTTGCCTTTCCAGCATCTATGATTTTACAGGGAGTGTTAGAGACTGTACTGGCATTTGTTCAGTTTTCCATTTTGTAAAATTATGCCTTTATTATTTAAATGGGTCAGTGTTTGGAGCCTGAAAAATTACTGTTCTGTTGTTCAATATGTTTAACAAGAATAACGAAGTTAACAAGGAACAGTTCAGAAACACAGTCTCTTCCTCCAGATTTTCTCCCTGTTGCAAACTTTTCGAAAGAACCATAGAAGAGCCTCTTATCTGTTCAACATTACTTTCCCCAGTTTTAGAATGGACTTAACATCTGTATAGCTTCAAACCATGCCTTCAGCTGCTCTAGATGGTTGCTACACACAAACACCAGTTGCTGCACATCTGTGTATTTGTGGAGCATTGGTCCCAGAAGATCTTCCACATTATATTCTGTTCTGCTCTATGTACATAAAGCTCAGAATTAAATTTCTCACTGGGATTTAAAAGGTATAAATTCTTCTGCGGTGGAGAAACTAATGTTCTCTCTCTCTGATTTGAACCAGTATGTTTCTTATAAAGTGGCACACTTTGCCTTGGTAGCCAAGAAAATATAGGCTAGAACTGTCTCTAAAGGCTGAAATACTTCATTTGTTCAACAGTTAGAGACCCGAGTGCCGCATGACGGAGTGAGCTCCCATCTCTGGTCCCAGCTCCTGCCAACCTAGCAGTTCGAAAGCAAGAAATTGCAAGTAGATAAATAGGTACTGCTTCGGTTGAAGGTAATAGCGTTCCGTGTGCCTTGGCATCTAGTCATGCCAGCCACATGACCACGGAAACGTCTTTGGACAGCGCTGGCTCTTCGGCTTGGAAACGGAGATGAGCACCACATCCCTAGAGTTGGATTCGACTGGCTTTCGAGCAAGGGAAACCTTTACCTAAAGTGCTTGTGCATTTTAATGAGTTTTATGTGTTTTTAAATATATAATGTTGTTTTTGCTACACTTTGTCTATGTTCCATTTTGTTTGTCCTAACTTTAATGTAACTGCCAGAAGTACAAATCTGGAGAACTGGGTTTGATTCCCCATGCCTCCGCATGCGGCTGCTGGGTGACCTTGGGTCAGTCACAAGTTCTCTCAGGGCTGTTCTCTCATGGGCAGTTCTTGAGAGACCTCTCTCAGCCCCACCTACCTCACAGGGTGTCTGTTGTGGGGAGGGGAGGGGAAGGAGGTTGTAAGCCTCGCTGACACTCCTTCGGGTAGTGAAGGGCGGGGTATACATCCAATCTCCTCCTCCTCCTCTTCTCCTTCTCTCTTTGCAATGGTCCAGGAAGAAATTCTTGCCTGCCCTCAAGTCATTTTGATTCCCCCTTAAGCAGCAGACGCAAGTTCGAGGGGTCTTCATGTGTCTGAAGATGCTCCATGAAAATGCTGTAGGTGTTCTCCGAAAGTCCAGTTCACCTGCAAGAACCGCTTCTCATACGGTTAACAAAGTCAAGCTATGGATTCAAGTGGTTTGGGAACTGGGCTGTAGGAAAAACGGCTGGTGACACCCAGTGCCAGAAGCTTATAGCCAAAAGGAAATAACGTATTTCGACATAAAAACGGAAGCCACCTGTGTAGGCAGCAAATTGCTTGGCGAAGGTGATTAATTACTATCACATTTAATTGCAGGATCAGAGTTCAAAACCTCTCCAGAGACACTTTGTTGGGGTTTAGTTAGGGATTCCCTTTATTCCATCCATTCCCCCCCCCCACATAGTGTGTTTAATTGGGGGCAAAAGGCAAGAATTTGTGAACGGCTCCACTTCTCGGCGGATGCGTCATGCAAATGGATAATGAGGAATAATGAAATTGCAGATGCGTTTGATAAAGCCGATCCTTGTTTGGGTCTAGAGCAGTGGAATGAGCTGGACTGGCTTGAAGAGAGAAGAAGAAGAGATTGGATTTATATCCTGCCCTTGACTACCTGAAGGAGTCTCAGAGTGGTTTACAATCTCCTTTCCCCTGTGAGGTAGGTGGGGCTGAGAGAGCTCTCCCGAGGACTGCCCTTGAGAGAACAGCTCTGAGAGAACTTGTGACTGACCCAAGGTCATGCCAGCAGCTGCATGTGAAGGAGTGGGGAATCAAACCCGGTTCTCTCAGATTAGAGTCCACGCTCCTAACCACTACACCAAACTGGCTGGAAGTGGAAGTAGAGGAATAGGGGGGAGGAGGAGATTGGATTTATACCCCATCCTTCACTACCCGAAGGAGGCTCAGAGCAGCTTGCAATCCCTTCCCCTCCCCACAACAGACACCCTGTGAGGTAGGTGGGGCTGAGAGAGTGCCGTCAAATCATAGCCAACTTAGGGCAACCCTGTATGGTTTTCAAGGCAAGAGACGTTCAGCAGTGGTCACACCAGCAGCTGCACGGGGAGGAGTGGGGAATCAAACCCGGCTCTCCCAGATTAGAGTCCATTGCTCCTAACCACTCCTAAAGGGGCTGCCCTTGTCCCAGATCCGGAAGCTGCAGCTGGTACAGAATGCAGCAGCGAGGCTGCTGTTGTGTCTTCCTGTGTGGGAACACATCCAGCCCACCCTAAAAGCTCTGCACTGGCTGCCTATAGCATACCAGATTCGGTTCAAGTTGCTAGTTCTTACATTTAAAGCCCTATACGGTCAGGGACCTACTTACCTAAGGGACCGCCTTTCCCCATATGTCCCCCAGAGAGCACTTAGATCGGGGTCCCAAAATCGCCTGGCCCTCCTGGGCCCTAAAGAAGCCAGAGGGTCAACCTTGATTAGCTTCTGAGATCTGATGAAATCAGGCTAGCCTGGGCTATACAGGTCAGGGCAACTTCCTTTAGGTGTCTAAATATGATTTCTGCATTGAAGCTGATGAGAAGCTACCATCCATTTTACTTGTTTTGCAGCTGAGTTCCTGCAAGGTTGTGGGGCATGCAGGTCATCGCTGATGCCATTTGTGATCCATGTGTCACTACTGGGTCCCCTAGAGAATAATGTTTAGTGAACGGCCTAAGTCTGGAGTTTTATGGTAATTCTCAGAATACATGGGAGCATAAAAATGCAGAGAGCTTTATCTCCTTAGCTATATTCAATTTTGTTCTAATTATATCATTGTTATTGCATGGATATAATTGAACTAACAATGTTAAGTATTCTTTAAAGGATTTTTAATTATGATGTTTCTTCTCATACTTTAAAATCCTCTATCAGAAGCTGCCTGTCCTGCAAATGGGCTTGTTGTTTGCTACATACTGATCATCGATTGGCTTGTCCTACTGTTTCCTAAGCAGAGAAATACATTTCAACTTTATGACTCGTCTGCACTTGCTCTCTCATGCTGAGTATCATTTAATGCTTCCATTAGTATGGTGGTTATGACTCTGAGAGAAGGGCTGTTAACTTTTCTCTCCCTGGTGACCAGTTTTGCCAAGACCCTAATTATTCACCCCTATTATGTCATATTCTCAAGCAATGGGGGCAGATTGAAAACCAGCTCTGAGCCGGAAATCTTTTCATTATTATGGTGGTTTTTAAAATCTTTTCATTTGCAGATGTCTATCCCTGCATTTCTACTAAAAATTAACTGCCTCCCCTAGCTGCCCAGTTCAGTATATAAGCAAGGGAAAATAGATTGCCAGTGGGTCTGAGGGGGGATGTTTTTAATCTTTCCCCACATAGAGCTTTCTTGTATGTAAACGAGCACACTGAGAAGAAAGATTGCGATATACAGCCATCATGAATGTATGCTGGACCAAACTAATGGGTGCCTCACAAGACCAAAATCTGTCCTTTTGTGGCTTCCTTTGTCTTAATGATGAGGCTAACTAGGTATTTTGCATTCAAGAGTTACCTGCAGCTACCTGGCCAGACTTTCTGCCTCCTGGGGAGAATAAAGACATACATATTTTATAATAACTTAATATTAACTAAACCTATCTGGATCTGAAAAATACATAGCTACTGGATAAACTAGAGGTTTAACAAATTGCTGTTAATGCTAAACACAAATGCAGAGGTACCTCGATATCATGGCTGAGCTTTTTAACTATGCTTGTGATAGTCTGTATGTGGTTCTCCAGTAGCTGGCATGCTACTGCCTCTCCTTGCTGAAAGCCTTTATTTCCCTGAAGGTAAGAAACAATGCCATCTTTGATTCGAAAGGCCTGATCCAGAAGAACAGCTGTGGTCCTCTCCTGGTTGGATATTCGGTCTTCAAGAGAATTCACTCTGCTTCCAGAAACATTAGGAATTGCAGGCAGGAAAAATTGATCCTGACTCCTGTCCAACAAGTAACCCCATGAGGTAAAAAGATCTTTAAAGTCAGACATATATTACTTTACACAGCTATAATAGCAAGGTAAAATAAGACAACACATACTGAAATAATAGTTCCCTTTCTCCTTGTTCATATTGCATGTAACAACACCGTATTTATTTATTTAATTTGATTTTAAACCACCCTCCCCCGAAGGACAGGGCTTAGAGCGTTGTACAACAGTATTGTATAATACATCATTAAAAACCAATTAAAACCAACAAAACACAGCAAGTAGCACTAAAAGCTCTAATGGTGCCACTGCCTCACGGGGAGGCAGGGGGTGGGAGTGCCAAGAAGATGGAACCAGTGTTCCCTCTAAGCTGAGTTAGTGTGAGCTAGCTCACAGTTTTTAATCCTCTGGCTCACACATTTTTGTCTTCGCTCAGGAAGGATAGCTCCAGAGCAAACTCATCTATGCAGCAGCCAAATCGCTCGCTCACAACTTTAATGCCAGCAGCTCACAAAGTAGAATTTTTGCTCACAAGACTCCACAGCTTACAGGGAGCATTGGATGGAACCATCGCTGTCCTCAACTAAACGCCTGGTGGAACATCTCTGCCTTACAGGCCCTGTGGAATTGCATCAAGTCTTGCAGGTCATGGATGTTATTTGGCAGAGAGTTCAACCAGGTTGGAGCCAGGGTGTAAAACACCCTGGCTGACTCTGGTTGAGGACAGCCAGATATCTCTCAAGATGAGGACCACCAACAGATTTTGACCTACTGAGTGCAATGCTCTCCTGGAGGTATACCAGGAGAGGCAGTCCCAAAGATATATAGGTCCCCGACAGCTAAGGGCCTTGAAGATCAATACCAAGACCTTGAACCTGATCTGGCACTCATGCAACATAGGGTGGATGTGTGTTGTATGCAGAGTCCCTGTAAGGCCACATTATATACCAGTTTGGAGTTTCCGGGTCAGCTTCAAGGGTAAGCCCATGTACAGCGAGTTACGATAGTCCAGTCTGGAGGTGACCATTGCATGAATGACTGTAGCTAGGTTAGGGCAAGGCAGGTAGGGGGCCAGTTGCCTGAACTGGTGCAGTTGGAAGAACACCAGCCTGGCAACCTTAGTAACCCAGGCCTCCCTTGTTAGGGAGGCATCCAGAATCACACCCAGAGTCTTAAGGGTTGGTACAGGTCTCAAGGGCATGCCATCAAGAGCTGGGCATTGACACCCCAAACTGGAACCTCCCTGCCCCAGCCACAGAACTTCTGTCTTAGAAGGAATGTCTCAGCCATTCCACCACAGCCTCCAACCCCTCAGCCAGATTTGCTGGGGCAATAGCCAGCCGACTACTCAGCAACATAAAGTTGGGTGTCATCAGCCTACTGGTGACACCCCAGCCCAAATCTCTGCACCAAGTAGGCAAGGGGGTGCATGAATAACATTGGAGAGAGGATTGCCCCCTGAGGAACCCAAATACCAAGGGGTACCTAGGTGACATCCTCTCCCCCACCCACTGTCCCAAACCTTGGAGAAATGAGGTGAGCCACTTCAAGACTACCCCACGAACTCCTATTTCGGTGCTGCGGTGGATCAGAATATCATGACCATGTTGAATGCTGCTGTAAGATCTAACAGTAACATCAGCACTGAACCGCCTTGATCCAGCTGTCTGTGGAGCTCATCTGTGAGGGTGACCAAAGCCATCTCCATCACATGGCCGGGACAGAAGCCAGACTGGAAAGGATTCAACACTAGTGTCTTCCAGGAAACTCTGGAGCTGTTTTGCAACCACTCTCTCAATTACCTTACCCAGAAATGAAAGAGACTAGGCAGTAATCGGATGGATCTAAAGGATCCAAAGTTGGCATTTTAAAGAGTGGTACAACCCCAGCCTCTTTCAGTCCTTCTGGGTAGACCCTTAGATCCAGGGACAAATTGATAATGTCTACCAGGGGACCTCGGATTCCCTCACTACTGGTTTTCACTAGTCATGAGGCACACAGGTCCAAGAGGCATATAGTTGGCCTAACATGTGACATATGACAAGCAAGACCTCATAAAACTGCCCTAGGCAAAGAGACTTCACTAACCAGTTTACCATTTCAAATATAAGTAAAATTCATTATTTTCAGCACTGTGCAAAATAAATAACTGCTGTTGTGTCAAAGATAATAAGAATGTAACTGCAGGCAGAGAGTGATAAAAAGTGACAATAGTTGAGGTAGAAAATATAGCAGTATGAAGTGCACAAAACTACTTTGTGTGACATGATGTGGTGCCATCCTTAAGAGAAGAATTAACTCCTGTGGGACTACAGAAAATATCTTTGTTTACATGGCACCCAGAAAAATAGGGCCCTGGTTCCTTACAACAAGTAAGTGATCATACAGTTCAGTCTATCAAATGAGTTTAGAAACAGCCAGTGTGGTTAAGAAGCTATTAGATTCATATCTTTTAGGCCTGTAATTCCCTGGACACATTTCTCTACTTCAGTTTCCCAGGTGCCTTGGAATCTTAGGGACCTAGAGTTGCCAGCCCCCAGGTCCCAGTGGGGGTTCCCTTGCTTTTAGGGGCTCCATTCTGCCCCACCCCCCAAAAGGGGTGTTGCAGTATGACATCCCAATCACGATGACGTCACCCGGAAGTGATGTCATTGTGTCGCTGCTGTCAGGGGGTAATGTTCTAATTTTTGAAGGCAAAAAAACCATAGAGTTTCACCCAAAAACTAGAGTGTCACCCCAATGTTGGTGACACAATGAATCACTTCCAGGTGTCATTGCACCACACACACAGTGTACATGTCAGAAGATCCCAGGAAAGGCCTGAGAGCCCCCCACTGGATGCAAGGTAGGAGATTGGATTTGTACCCCGCCCTTCACTCAGAGTGGCTTACAGACTCCTTTCCCTTCCCCTCCCCACAACAGACACCCTGTGAGGTAGGTGGGGCTGAGAGAGCTCTGACAAAAACTGCTCTTTTTCAAGAATACCTCTGACAGAACTATGGCTTGCCCAAGGTCATCCAACAGCTGCAAGTGGAGGAGTGGGGAATCAAACCCAGTTCTCCCAGATTAGAGTCCGCCCACTTAACCACTACACCAAGGGGGATGTGAGGATGAGCAAGACAAAAGTGACTGTTAAAGTCTTTTCATGTTAAAGGTGCAATGGAAATTATTATTAAAAATAAAACAGGACCTTGGTGAATGTGGTAAACTAATTTTACCATAAAACTAAATGTCATTTCAGATATTACAATATGCAACTTCATTGCAAATCATCTTATAACACATGACTGGATATATGGACTGAAAGTACATTCTTTGTAGGAATTAAAGAAATAATTTGATGTGCAATAAGAGAAGAATCAGGCCTTTCTTAAGAGGTGACAGTCTTCTAATAAATATGGAAAGAGGAGGATAAAGATTGTTGAAGGGGGAGGACCAGTTTTATTAATGAATATAGTAGATTTATTTCTATAAATACTTGCTCGAAACCCAAGATGCACTTGCACTGGTGAAATGGCATTTATGCCAGTGGAACAGTATTCTGTTTGTGCAGGGAGGTATGAAAGTTGCATTACACAAACTTTATTCCACTCTAGGTAGGACTTCTGCTAACGACTTTAATCTAACATGGCAATTGTTATACTTCTTAGTTTCCAAGTCTACAAATCCCTGGGTGTGTCTGGGTATGCAGGGGGGGGAAATGGGTCTTCCAGGTGTCAACTGAATCACATTGAAACAACTGGGGACCTTATGTGTAGATCTACTGAGGCCTTACAGAAATGAAAATTGTTACTTCTGTACATGCATGAGTAAACTGTGCTTTAGTTCAAACTACCAGAGATTTATGCTACCTTTCCACAGCTTTATTACTAGAATGATTAAAGCATCTCTTAAGAAGGAAGACATTATGGTTATCCAGTCCTGCCTGCCAGAAACCTAGACTAACATTCCTGCAAAGCCAAGTATAGACAGGTCTATGGAAAAGAAAGACAAGGTGTGAGGGAGAGAGAACAAACATATCCCAGGAACTTGATCTGCTATTAGACTCGTGATACCTTTCTATGGTAAAAATAGTCATCAGGCTAGAAATTGGCCTGATGATATATATTCACTTTCCCATACAATTTTTCTACAATCAACTAGTTAAGGAGCTATTTAAATTTGGATATATTTAAATGAACCAGTTTTTATAAAGCAACAGTGTATCTTTCTCTAGGATTTTGGCAGCCATCACATCAGTCCAAGGATATAGTAGAAACTGTGTATCAGGTTTGCTTCCCTTTGAGACACCAATTCATAAAACCAGTAGCTGTTGAAATTGAAAGCTCTGTCAATTTGGAATTAATATTTTCTTCCAGAGCCAAATGAGGACTATATATAGCATGTCAGTCTCAACAGGCATCTAAGCCCTTCAACTGAAGCACTTTGTCTATTAGGCAAACCCATTTAAAAACAGCGGCAGTGATGGGCCCAAAGAATGATTAAGATATTATTTTTTTATGAGGCAGCCCATTTCTGTGAGGAGTAAAGTCAGAAGTGGAAAAACACAGTTAAGATTCTTTCACATACAAAACAAACTGATGTATGAAGTAAATAATATAACTGCAGGCAAACTTCTGCTTTGAAATGAGAAAACAGTAAAGCATCAGTTTTGCCAAGTTAGTTTTCTTCACAGAACTGCAAACAGAGAGTTTTAAGTGTGAATGCATATGCATTATTTGTAAGTGTGTGTTTTCTATGAGTAGAGTACAGTGTTCTGGGTAGCAACTGCATTCTTGGGAGCAAGATCTATTTGCAGTGCCGTCTTGTAGGTAGGTGAGATGAACCTCTGGCTGTGCTAGAGGATTTTAAATAATAGCACCCAGTCTATGGAATGCTTCCCTGAGTATGGCAGAAGGCCCCATTCTGTTGTTGTTTTGGAAGCACTGTAAGGCAGAATTTGTAGACAAGTTTTTTCAGTAGATTAACTTCTTTTGAGGTCTGACACTGATTGGACTGCTGGTGTTGGTCAACAGTGGAGTCTCTTTGGGGGGGTATTTTGATGAAGTTTTGATTTGTTT